TGGAGCCTTCTCCAGGCTGAACATGAACATGGCTTGAAGCACATCTGCACCACGGCTCAGCTGTGGCACTGTGAAGCCACATGTGTTCACCCAGACCCGCAGAGCTCCAGGAAGGACAAGGAACCAACCTAGTGCCAGTCATTGTCAGGTAGCAAACACTGTGTAAAAACCACTAAATTGGTTCTCCGAGGTACCTTCCCGTAACAGGAGCTATTCCTGGGCTGCTCTAACGTACGTCCTGCTTCCAAACAACAGCAAAAGTCTCCAATAAAGGGTTCTCCAACTATCCCAGCTACGAAATGTTCTCAGCTCGACCACCTCTGCCATGGAACAGCTGCACAAACTACACATGGGAATGGAAAGCCACCAGCTGCAGCAGGAACGACATCGTGGACACAGGGAAGCACCCGAGAGGCATCCATCAGTAAGATCACAGGGAGAAGCAAGAATTACCCACCAACTGCCAGCATCAGACAGACCCCATCACCCGGCCAAGGCTTCCCAACACAACCCCTTGACAGCACTTCGCCCCAGTGGCTTCCATAGGGATGGAAAGGGTTGGACTCAGCAGCTTCACCTCTGATACCAACACGGACCAAGCCTGCCTGGTCTGTTGCTGCTCATTGGAATCATCTCGATCAGTTTGAACTGGCTCTGCCTGTGAGCTTCTAAAGAAGCATTTTTATGTGGAGGGCAAGCACTGATTAGAATGCAAGCCATGTATTTCCTGCTCGGAGTGCTCGTGCCAATGTGATTTCAACAAGGGTTGCAAACACAAGAGTCACCCTCATCTGTGAACTGGCTTCTGAAAGTGCTTCTAATTCCACCACCAAGACCCGAAGAGGCAGCTCCTCACTCCAGCAGACCCGTTTGTCTCTCCAGCATGTCCAGGGCTGTATTTTCGCATCACATCTCACAGGCACAGCCTGCAGCGGCCCAGGCACTCACCAGTGCTGCTGCTCCTGATGCTGCAGCCCCTCGGATGCTGCGCACACAGCTCCTGGCATGGAGTCCTTGCACAAAGTCACTCAGATGCAGCAGGTCCCAGCTTTGGAAAGCACCAAGAACCTGAATAAGCAACAAAGCCTGGGTTTGCTCCATGCTGGTGTGTTCCAGAGGTGCTGACGGTGCCCAAATGCTGACGCAAAGGCTGGTCCTTTTGGCTGGTGCTGAGTACATCACACTGACAGCTACAGTGACCTGCAGCCACCCGGGAGCCAGAGGAAAAAAGGGATTTATAGTGCCTGCATTTCCTGCAAGAGAACAAGGCCAGCAGCCGTTTCACCCACTCCTGAGTGTGGCTCATCCTCTTGATGCTGGTGGCACAAATAAAGCTGTCACTTGCAGGAACACCGAGCACCAGCAGCGTGGAATGAGGCAGAAGCAGAGACACCAGTTGAGATGCTGGTGTGTTCCCCCAGTTTTCTGCCCACCGAGGGTGCTTGCAAAGGCTACACCAGGTTGTGGCAGAGAGACAAAGCTTCAGGCACCCCCAAGCAGCCCACAAAGCCAGCCCATATCCACAAGGCTGTTCTGCCTTCTTGAAGACCATCACCTTCCACCCAGCTATGGGAAAACAGCCCTTCCTGGCCATGAGGGCATCGCCTTCGTCTTCCAAGTCGCCATGGAAAGGATGAGCTGCTGCATCAGAGCCCCAGCAGCCGGGGCAGCCCTTCACCCGGTGTCCCTGTGCCGTGCCTGTGGCAGAGCAGAGGTCAGGAGCAAGCTGCACCCTGGTTATTGATGGTCAAGATTAGCTTGTCTGAACAGGGAAATACATCACCGGAAAAATAGGAAACATTTGGGAAGTGGATGGCGGGCATGGGAGTGATGAATGAGCGCTGGAGGAGCCTGGTGAAGATCAATGAATAGCTGATGAGCTGAGGAACGAGACGGAGGGGAGCTCACCATGCAAATACGGAGAGGGAGCAGAAGCAGCAGGGAAATTGCTCACTATGATGAGATGTTACTGTGAGTCCCCAAACAGCCTCTACATGCGTGCCACAGATGCAGGGGAAGCCAGGCACCGGGGCAGCTGGCTCTGGCTCTGCTCAGCATCGGGCTCTGGAAAGCAGAGCACCCAGTCTGCCTGCCGGGGCTCCAGGACAGACCCCCTGTCCCCATCAAGTCACACCTCCATCTATCCTGGTTTGGAGAGCTGAGGCAAGAACAAGGGCTCAGAGAAGGGAACGCACCCAGAGACCCCTGATGCACACGTTTTGCAGATGACAGTAACTCACCCAGCCTGGTGCTTCTGGGCTTTTACAGCAGAAGCTCCACAGACAGGCTGTTTCTGTGAAGACATCATTTTGGGGGTCAGCTCTGCATGCATTACAGTCCATTAGCAGCGACTGAGACAGCTGCTCACGAGCAATAGAGATACATAACCACTGCATGGCACTGGGAAAAAGCATCCCAGCGTGGGCTTTGCCAGGACCAGGCACAGGCAGGAGAGTGGCACCACGTCCTGTTCCCCTGCCTGCAGCAGGCAGCTCATCACACCAGCCTCCATCTGCACCACAGCAAGACAATGCCAGCGCAGCCCCAGCCCAACACTCGCTTCTTAATGCTTTTAAGGAGCCATAGAGCTGGTGTCCTGCTGGCTCCAAGGCTCCCTGCACTGGCCGCAGCTCTATCTAGTGGTGGGAGACACAGCTCCGGTGGCTGGGCCACCCTGGAAGCAAAAGGCTGGGTCCTGCTCAGCTCCCAGAACAAACCTGTACGGACGGAGGCATCGGGGAAGGCAGCGGGAGTCATTCAGGACGAGCATCATCTCCAGCGATGCAGCAGTGAGAAGGGTCCTGGTGCAGTGGGTTTTGGGAACTCCTGCTCCTGGACCTTCTGCACGACAGAGCAGTTGAGCCGGGTGGGCTCAGGGATGGGACTGCAGTAAATACTGATCCTTGTTATACTGCTGGGGTACAAAACACACCAGGAACAGGGAGACCCAGCCTGAGCCACGTAACCAGTTCACCCGGTTAGACGTGGCTGTTACACGCTTCCAAATCATCGTTATTTGGGTGGTTCTGCCCTGCCTTCAAGCTCCTTCATCTGCCAGCTCATAAATTCTCACAGACAGCTCCTAGAGGCCCTGAACTCGCAGAATAGTGACAGCAAATTCACTGGGCTGCGGATTTCCGTGCAGTGTCCTTGTCCTTGACACTAGATATGGAAAGCGAAAGCTATTCCCACCTCCCTGGAGCACTCACCCTCAGCAGCCTGACCTCTGCAAGCAGCCCAAAGGAAGCTATTTGAGAAGAGAATGACAGCAGCTACTTGTGGGATGATGGGCTGAATAGAGCCATTTAAATCCGTCCCACCACCTCCTTCCCTGCAGCTGGTTCTTGGAGACACCACCTGAATCCTGGGCCAACCTACTCATGCCATCAAGGCTCCCACTCTCTCTGCAGCAT